AAGGGACATGAACAGACATTTCACCAAAGCAGACATTCAGGCAGCAAACAACTACATGAAGAGATGCTTACAATCATTCATTATTAACCAAACCAAATATACTGCTGCAAGTCAATTCCAACTCATAGCAACACTAAAGGACAGAGTAGAACTGTCCCAAGGCTGTAAATTTTATGGAAGCAGACTGCCTCTAATTTCTCTTGTGGAGTGGCTGTTGGGTTCAAACCACTGACCTTTGGGTTAGCAGCCAAATGCTTTAACCACTGTGCCACCAGAGCTTCTTCTTTAGCCATTAGAGAAATGCAAATCAAAAGTAACTACAATGAGATTATCAACTCACTGAGGCAGTAATAGCAATGGTCAAAAGTGGGAAGAGTGCTGTTACATTGAGGGGATTGAAAATAATATCATGAAATAAAATGTGTATAAATTGTTGAACGGGAAACTAATTTGACCTAATCTTTCACCAAATCTAGAATAATATGTTCAAAAAAAAAAAAGAAAAAGAAAGAAAGAAAGAAAGGAAGAAGATAGGTACCTAGCCATTCATGTTGATGATCCATATTTGTGCCCATTCTAAAGAAAGTTGACCAAACAGAATGTGAAAATTAACAAACAATATCATTGATATCACATGCAAGTAAAATGTTGTCAAATATAATTCATAAAGGGCTGCAATGGTACATCGAAAGTTAACTAACAGAAAGTTAAAGATTGAGAAGATATAGGATGAGATATATCATTGTTGATATAAGATGAATCCTCACTGAAATCAGAGAATACTATAAAGAAGTTTACATGTGTTTTATGGACTATACAAAGGCATTCAACTGTGTGAATCACAACAAATTATGAATAACATTGCGAAGAATGTTCACTTAACAGCATTCCAGAACACTTATCTGTGCTCATGTGGAACATGTACGTAGATCAAGAGGCAAATCTTTGAACAGAACAAGGGAGTACCACATGGTTTAAAAGCAGGAAAGGTGTGCATCAGGGTTGTATACTTTCACTATACTTATTCAGTCTCTATGCTGAGCAAATAGTCTGAGAAGTTGTACTGTATGAAAAAACAACACAGCATCAAGATTGGAAGAACAACCTGTGATAAGCAGATGATACAACCTTGTTTGCTGAAAGTGAAGAAGACTTGAAGCACTTACTGATGAAGAACAAAGACTACAACTTTCCGTACGGATTACATATCAACATAAAACAAAAATCCTCAAAACTGGATCAATAAACAACATCATGATAAATGAAGATAATATTGAATTTGTCAAAAATTTCATTTCACTTGAATCCACAATCAATGCCCATGGAAGCCACAGTCAGGAAATCAAATGATGTATTACATTGAATAATCACTGCAAAAGAGCTCTTTAAAGTTTTAAAAAGCAACGATGTCAACCTCAGGACTAGGGTGTGCCTGACCCAAGCCATGATATTTTCAATCACCTCCTATGCATAAAAAAGCTGTACAGTGAATCACGAAGACTGAAGAAGAATTGATGCCTCTGAATTATGGTGTTGGCAAAGAATATCATATATACCATGAACTGTGAGAAGAATGAAAAGAACTGTCTTGGAAGAAGTATAGTCAGAATGTTCCTTAGAAGCAAGGATGGTGGATATCATCTCACATACTTTGGACAGGTTTTCAGGAGGGACCAGCTCCTGGAGAAGGACATGCTTGGTGAAATAGAGGCTCAGCGAAAAAGAAGACTCTCAATGAGATGGATTGACGCAGTGGCTCCAAGAATGGGTAAAACATAGATACGATTGTGAGGATGTTTTGTTCTGTCATACATCAAATTGCTCTTAGTTTGAATCAATTTGACAGCACCTAACAACAACATTTGGCCATATGTTCTTTCAAAATGTATGACATTCATCCCCAAATAAAGTATTCTTATGACATTTTTTACTATTCAATTTGTATAGTGCCCACTTGAAAATATAGATACCTTCTTAATGTTTTATGATAAAGGAAATATATCCTACAAAGTTAAAATTAATATAAGCAAATGCAGTTTTGGCAGCATGTATTGTAATTAATCATGGAAATTTAACATTTGTTAAGGGCCATTATGCGGCACTGATATTTATCTTGAATGGAAAAAATGTTCCATTAATTTCCAATCATTTAATATGGCCATAGGAGCTCTGGTAGCATAGTGCCTAAGGCACTTGACTGCTAACAAGAAGGCTGGTGGTTCAAATCCACCAGCCACTCCCTGCAAGGAAGGTTGGACAATCTACTTCTGAAGTGATACTGCCTCTGAAACCCAAGGAGGGGTCACTATAAGTTGGATCCAACTCGATGGCACATAACAACAACAACAACAACAATATGGCCATATGAAAGATTGCAATGATAGCATACGACCAAATTGACATCTAAAATTTTAGTGGCGGGGTGTGAAAAATGACTTCCCCACATTTTGTTTGAAAAGCTCTTGTCCTTTATTCAGTGGACTTCAAAAAGGGAGGGACTGCAGAGAAGAGTGAAGTGAGGAGAGGAGAGGAAAGGAGAGAGTAAGAAAAGGAAGGTAAGATTATTTCATTATAAATAAGAGACACATACAGAATTGTGTTCTCTGACATAAATGAGTCAATTTTTAATTCAATAGAAAGATAAGTACAGATTGCTTTTGAAAATTAAGATTTTCCCCATGGTAAGACAGAGTAATCATGACAAAGCTAAGATCTCCGAACAGTTGGTTATGTGTGACTTAAAAAAAAAAAAAAATAGAAAAGAAAAAGAAAACTATTACTATCTCCCATCAAAATTTAAAGAAAATTACTCAGAGAATAGAAAAGTACTTAAGTGTTGATAAAAAAAAGGATGGAGTAGAGAGAAATAATATAGAGCTCTGTCACCCAATATAGCAGGGACTAGGTAAATGTGGCCTCTGAGCACTTGAAATGTGGTTAGTCTGAATTAAAATATTCTGAAAGGGTATAGCACACATCACACATAAAGAATTAGTACAAAAAATAATGTAAAAATATCCTGTGCTTTTTAAAAATGTGATTCTATGTTGAAACAATATTTTGTATACATTTGTTTAAACAAAATAAACTATTAAAATACTTTACCCTGTTTGTCTTTTTTAATGTGGCTTCTAGAACATTTTAAGTTACATATGTAGCTCGCATTGTATTTCTGTTGGACTGTGCTTATATAGATGCCAGAAAAAGCCCCCAAGTAATCCATTTGGGGAGAGTAAATGAGTAGACATTTTAGGCTGTATAATGACAGCATTTAAAAACATCGGAACTTTTGTTGTGAATCTGAAGTTGAGTCCAACTTAAATTTTCAATCATTTATAGGTAGACATTAGTTATAACTTAAAATATGAGTTTTATATACATTTGTCTTTGTGTGTATGTTTGCACATTTGTGTGTGTATGAACTGAACTAATGACATTTTATACCTATTTCATATACTACTTTAGGAAAATGCCAAAATTGAGCCTAATCTTTTTATCTATTTGTCATGGTCAATAGAGTAACAATGAAACAATAAAATCACCAAAAACATTTTCCTGAAACTTCACACCTTATTAAGTGCCATAAACCATGATAAAATGTAACTATTTCTTTCATCTGTGAACTATGGCAAAGGATGTCAAGAACTATTGGGAAGGTATTAAATCTGTGGTTTTTAACTTACTAGTAATGGTCTTTAGGAGAATTAGAGACATGTAAGTTATGAGTACGGAAATCTAAATTTACAACAATGTCAACACGCTAGTCATTTCCTCGTTTTGACAATTAAGTACTTTTTCAATGAATTCTGATTATAGAGGGAGAGAAACAAGTTTATGGAAATCCACTAGAGGGAGCTGATATTATTGTAAAGTTGATTCACCTGATTCTCCATTAGGAAAATAAATCCCTTAGCAAAAATGACTTTGAAGTAAGAAAAAATAATATAAATGTATCGTTTGCTTTATTTAGTTCTTTTCAAGACATCATGAACAAAACTTAGGAAAACGACAATGGTTTGTGTATATCATCAAATTAAGTCTATAAATGTTATCACGTGCTAAATTCTTTAGAAGGTTAAAAAGTAAAACATAGACAAATATCCTTGGCAACTAAAGTTTTCCTAGAAAACAAATGTGTGCTCTTGTGCTTATCATAACAAAGGCGAGATAGGGATTTTTAAGATAGTTTTCTTAAAATCCAGTTATATTCTATAATCCATGTCATGTATGCAGATGTATGCATATGTATAATAGATTGAAAACAACTTTTTTTTATTATTGCTTCAAAGTGTTCATAGACCATTTTCTCAAAGGAACTTGATTACAATTCAAGCGATGAGTAGAGAACTGCTGGACAAGATACTACGTATTAACATTTTATAAGACGAGAAGAACATCTTGAAAACTTTGTTGGTCATATGGTACGCACATGTGTAATTGCTCTACTTTTACCTGATATTTTAGCATTGTAAGGTGAAAAGTGAAAAATTCTAGTTATAAGATTCAGTAGTAAAATGCAGCCTACGGAATCATTTGACCTTTGTTGAGTTTCAGTGGGGACACACATGCCACTGCTAGAATACCCTTCAGCTAAATTGATAGGAGTATTAGAAGATGTGTGGGTGGATATCCTTGTACAGAGAGCAACCTGGGTTTAGCGAAAGCCTATTCACACTTCCTCTACTGCTCTTCATGTTCTCCATTGTTCAAAAGCACTGATCCTGAAATATGCAACCCACCAAGGAAAAGTTATGCTCCTATAAAACAAATATCTTATTTTTTTCTTTAAAGTCATGAAATTATTACAGGTGAAAAAGAAATGTAAACACAACCTATCTGTTTTCAACAGCAGTACAATATAAAGGATGTAGAAACAGTGTAAGGGTAGGTCCATCGAAAGATGTTAGTGTTTCTTGTTACTACTCTTCCCCACACACACACACACACAAATAACCACTTTGCAAAGTGTCAGGTTACCTATATTAAATATTTTTACTTACTTTTCTGTAGCTCTTTCTCCCTGGCCTGCACATCTGCAAACACTTGATTAAAATGATTTCTAAAGGCCACGAAGTCTGCATCCAGGAACATTGGCCCTTCTCCTTTCTCTTTCAAGGCTATACTTTGAATCTTTAATCGCTCAATTTGAGGCTGAAGAGCTGACAGCCGGTTCACTTCATCCTGTACCATAATACAGAATATGAAAGTAAATAACGTTTTTACTTTGCATACATTTCACTTTTGCAAAGGAAGTTATTAAAAGGCAGTGATGTAAGCTTAGCTTAACACTCTATACAAAAATTTGATAAGAAACATCCATGATGGCTTAGGCACGTCTGCATAGGTCATCAACTTAACCCTTTCATAACCTGATTATTTTCTGCTTAGGATTTTTTGTTGATGCCACGTGTTTTCATTAATGGAAGGCATGCAGAATCAAGGTGCGTTTCTGAAATTTTTAATGAGATATGGATTTTGATTCATATTATGTAGGACACATAGATCCTTTGAACTCTGAGGGGCAGGATTACATGGGACACTTAGTTCTCTCTTGGCTCTAGGGTAGGATTATGTGGGATAAACTTGTTACTCTGGAATCAGGATAAAATGATGTGGGACACAAATGGCCTTCCGGACTTAGGGGGTAGAATTAGAGAGTCACATATGTCCTTCTGGACTCTGCATTGTTGTCTAGATCCCTTGACAGGTGTATACAATTCAATCTTCTGCAAATGAAGTATTCTCACGAACATGAAATCATGATGAGAAAAGCTACTTCCAAATCACATACAGTCACTTCTAAGTATACTTGTAAGACTTATCACCCAGCGAGAAAGCCAAAAATATAAAAGATTTGCAAAATCACACAGACAGGATGCATCATCATCTCATACAGTGCACTGTAAAAACAGTAATTTTCAGTATACAACAATTTCTTCCGTATGAAACCGTTTATAAATATCCCCTCCTGAGGCCTGCATGCACTGTCAATGGGAAAGCAGGTGCCCCAAAAAAAACCCAGAGGAGGAAATTATAGGTGGGTGCTATGTGTCCTGTGGGTCATGAAAGAATTAAAATTACTTTGGATCTTCATTCAATATGTCACATCATAGATGACATCCATTAAATTTCAAAATGGCATCATTTAGAGCATTAGGGAATATGAATAAGCGTGGTAGCTAAAATCCTTTCCATACAGCCAATCTGGATGATCCAGTGCAATCCTCTAATCTCAAAACTGTGTGCCTTTGCTTCAAATACCAAGATATTAAATACTAAGGAATCCATTGCTGAGGAGCCGATTCCATCACAGCAACCTCACGTGTTAAAGAGCAGAACTGCTTCACGGGGTTTTCTTGGCTGTATTCTTTATGTGAGCAGATCACCAGGCTTTTCATCCCAGGCACTGCCAATGGATATATTTGAACTGGTAACATTTAAATAAGTGTTCCGTCATAAAATGTGTGAACCACCCTGTGACCATCTGCTTACATAACAACAAGCAAACAAACAAACAAAAAACTCACTGCCCTCGAGTCAGACTTGACTCATAGTGGGTTTGTGAGGTGATATCTCTATGGAAGTAGATTGCCCAGTCTTCCTTCTGAGGAGTGGCTGGTGGGTTCGAACCACTGACCTTCAGGTTAGCAGCCAAGTGCCTTATCC